TTGGAAATCGGAAATGAAAATCAGTCCATAGTCGCTTGCCAAATATATTCGTAATTAAGGCATACATACATACATAAGCATGTACTTTAGGGTGGTCCAAAATAAGTAAAATCGGAATTTTAATGCTCTCCCCCCCCAGGATTGTTCTATATCGAAAAAAGTATACCCCTATTTTTTTATTTTGAAATCAAAAAATATTTACAGGTTGCTCAAAGCGTTCAAAGGTTTCCATGTATTTTATATGCAAAAAAACCAACTTTTCTTGGAATGGTATGGAATTCTTGAGAATCCATATTTTTCGTTCGCAGTTTTCAATGCTTAAGCTTTTTTATTTATCCCCCCTTTGCTTTTTCGGGCATTTTCTAGGGGTTTTGGTGGGAATATAAAATATGGTTACTATGAAAAAATGGTTGAACAAATAATTAGGTATGATTGGGTATTACTGGGAATCTCTTGAAGAGAACAGGGTCTTCCGGTCGAAAAATATTGATTTTCAAGAATTCTATACCAATTCTACGAAAAGTTGTTTTTCCCCCATGGAACACATGGAAAGCTTTGAGCGATTTATTTATTTATTATTTATTTATTTATTTGAGCAACCTCTAAATATTTCTTGATTTCGAAATAATAAAAGAAAGTAAAATTCCGACATTACTTTTTTTTACATGTACTTTTGGACCACCCTATTGTACTTATGTATGTATACTTGTAAAGCAAGAAGAAGTTTGTTTTGAATGACCCCATGGAAGAACTTTCTAGCCGAACGACCCATCACTAGACCAGAAGTTACATTCAAACATTCGTGTATAAAGGGTGGTCCATATAGTGTTTTTATTTTAATAATATGTTATTTTGTCAGTGACCGCTCTTTCCCGATGGAAGTCTTGACAGAAAGTCAGGATTATATCTCAGCGGAACGAAATGAATCGCTTGACGCTTGGACAACATTGGGAAATAAAGCGAATTAGTTTCCAAATTTTTTTCTGACAAAGCGCGTTTTCATTCCGGCGCACCCACCTAGCTGCTTTTAATTCTGTAATTCGAAAACTACTGAAGATACATTGATGAAATTTTTCACAAAGTACATTATATGTAGGGCAACCCAAAATATGTTCGGGCATGTTTTTTGTCAGCCATGTTAGCAAGAGGGGTTGAAATAACACAAACGGCAATAACGCAAATTTGTGTTATTTCCCTATTGAATGTGAAATAACAAAAATTTGCTTTATTTTATTTCTCGTTGAGCAATAAGAGCAACTTTTAAACTTAACAATTGAGTAATAAAGCAAAATAGTGCACATAGGTAGTCCCCCAAAAACAAAAAGTAGTACATGAACAAGTTAAATGGACGGATTTGTAAGTATACCATTTAGAGCCTAGCGTCGCGGCGGACACTGCCTTATTTGAAAATTTGCCTATTAAATGTGACTATAAGGTAGCCGAATGTCAAAAAATAAAGCGAGAAAGCTGTTTTATTACTTCACCTGTTTATTGCGCCATGGTTCCATGCAAACATTTTAAGGTTTTCCTGAAATGTTTTCCACATATTCGTTCCAACGCGAATTATATAAGAACAAAACACCGGGGAACGTTCTCAAAGCGACAAATACATTCGGTAACATTTTTAATTGAACAAAAGTATCGGGAACCTTCTGGCAGAGAACAAAACGGGAACCCAAGTCTGAGGAACTTTTTATCGAAGTACAAATTGGGATCTAAAGCCTAAGGTACGTTCTGACACTCTGAACTCTTGCAGTAGAATGGAAGCGTGAACAATAATTTTCTCATTGCGCTGCAGCAGATTGAAATGTTTGAATATTAAAATCAGTGAAAAAAGAACTGAAAGATAATTACGCAAATTAAGTTAAAAAAGACTTAACACACGAACTTTTCCTGCAAAGAAAATGAAAATTTGTTCCATAAATTATAGTGTTGAACCCATGGACCTCACTGAAACGATTTTTCACGCCAACACAGACGCCGCTCTCATTCTCAATATTTATCTCTCAATGAAATTTTTTACGAAAGTTTCGTTCTCATATTGTTCGTTTTGAGAATGCTCCCTAGCGTTTTGTTCGCATTTTGTTGTTTATGAAAAACTCTCCAAATCTTGTGTACTCAGTTTGTTCCCGTTCAAACAACTTACAATACTTTTGTTCACGTTTGGTTTTTTTGCGGGAACGTACTCAAACATTTTCTTCTCGTGTAGAACTGAACCAAAACCGGAACGCGTACTCGGTCCCTAATTTAAGGACCTCATTATTATTTTTTTATAAATTTGAGCGTAAAAATAAAACAGTTTGATATGTTTGTTTTTTTTTTGTCAAATATACATTATATTTTTTATTTATTATTTGTTTTCCAATAACAAAAGATGTTGTAATTACAATTATATTCTTAAGTAAGTAATTTTTACATTTTCGCACATTTTTGATCAAATATATTTATAATTAAGAGTTTTCATAATTTACATACATAAGAATATCTACAGTTGTAAGCTGTTTACTGGTTTCCACTTGCACAACACACTGAAGCACAAACGATCAGCTCAAGTGCACACAAAACACACATACTAGGTACTACTAGTAGTACTACATAACACACATAGCATAGCATAGCTCTTTGTGTCTAAGTATGTACATACAAATTAACAAAAATAAAAATAAAAATTGATTTAAAAATTAAATAAAACAAATTAAATTTAAACTTAATTAAAAATATTTGTTTGCCTTAGGAAAAAATTGTCACTAAAGAACTAAAATGGTATTTACTATAATTGTTCGATAATAAAATGTATGAACGAATTTGAGAGTCTGAAATGCTTAAAGTGTAGCAGCAAACCGAAATTATTATGTGTACCTACATTAACTTGTACATGAATGTGTAAATATGTATGTATACTTTGTATGTAAAAAATAAAACAATGTCTACTAAAACATAATTAGATATTGGGGGTAATTTGTAAATTTTCGTTATTGCTGATTGTTAGTTGGTGGAAAACAAACGGTTTTCGGGTTATTGCCATTGCACATAATCGTGCATTATGCTTCAGTGTATTTTATACAACACAAACAATATTGATTGTATATGTATGTATGTATATGTATGCATGTAAGAATATTTCATAATTTGGGTGATTTTTTTTTGCTTAAGTTTTTTTAATTGCTATTATTAGTTCAATGATTTTTGTTTTTTACATTTTCCAATTTTTCTTCTTTTTGTATGTTTCATTTTTGGATAATTCTTTGAATTGTGTGTGAGTAAATTAAAACAAAATATGATTTAATTTTAAAAATTTTGTCAACTTTTTTACGCATAAAAATACAAATTCGATTTACATTCAATTAAAATACATATGTATTAGTTTTCTTTTTATAAAAATGTAGTGCTTGTTGTGCTTTTTGGTAATTTTTATTTTTATTTTTTATTAAAAGGGAAAAAATAATACTCTAATACACACACTACATCATTGCATAAGTGAGATCATTCCAAAGTTTTGTATGAATGTTTTGGTTAATAACACAGGCCAACTAGCGCATTGGTCAAACAACAAAAAAAAAAGAAATAAAATTAAAGATAAAAACACGAAACAAACAAAATTGTGCAGGCGCTGCTAAAAGTAAAATTGCACTGGCCAGCCGCTCTTGGCACAAATTCGCTCAATCTTTGTCTACTATTTATTACTATTACTACTACGCATGCGCTTGGCAGCCAATCGATCAGTACGTGCATGTTTCTTAGCTACATATTTGAATGCCCGACTAAATACATACTGACTGCACCTTGTCGGCCTGTGTAATATGAATGGGTAATGGTATGCGAATGCGCAAACATTATTTTTTTTGTTATTATTCTTAAGACGCCACCGCGTTGACTCTGACAGCATTGAGAGTGGGGTTTTCTTAAAAATAAAATAAAACTACAAAAACAAAAAATATTAAAAATTAAAAAATAATAATTTTTCTAGCTGGCAATTGGTGTTGCTGAGAACGTTTATGTTAGAATTTATTGGGCCAGCTTTTCTTCTAATTATCATGGCCCCTCGGAGGGGCGAATGGTTTTTTTCTGAGCGCTTTTTCATAGCCGAAATGCATTCGGTGGTTTGCTATTAGAAAAAAAAATGTTTGAATATTTTTTTAACCATAACCAATAACTTATATAAATTTTGAATTTTTGTGAAAAATTATGAAAACAGTTGGGCTACAGAATTTTTTTAATTGGTAATAAATATTTGCAATTTAAAGAAAGGAAAATTGGAAAAATTCAAGAACCGAAAGTAACTGTTAAATATCAAGATTTATATTTTTAGATCATTGCGAAATGGTTGTTACTTTGTTTTTTTTTTTATTTTTTTAAGCAAGAATAACCGTTAGATTTTTGTCGGCCAATTTAAACGGTATTTTGTGATTTTTATTTTTATCGATCATTTTTAACCGGTATGCATTTTTATGACCGCTTTAAATCTTTTATGATCTGAAAAATGTAAATCATAAAATTACGATTATTCTTGATCGAAAAAATAAAGATTATAAAAAAAACTATTAAATTTGATCGGTAAACTTTGAATAAAATTTTAATGGTTAAAGTATGATTTTTACTATAAATATCGTAACCGTTACGGTTTCTGAAAAATAAATGAAATTCACTGCACTACTGCGTTAATTCTTATTGAATTTATGTACTTATGTAAAAGAAATTAAGTGACTTTAGAAGGTTTGACTCTGGATTAAAAAAGAATAAGTATCCTCAAAAATTATATGTTTTTATTAAGCTCCTCGTGGGTAAAGGGTTAATCTTTAAAATATTATTTCGAAAAAAAAAAATTAAATATTGCTCTAAAGAGAGCTCGTGATAAGTTATTCTATCAAAATTCCATAGATATCATCATCATAATGCAAGAGACATTAGTTGAAAAATTTTTAATTTTTTGAAATCAGAGGAATATTGAAAAAAAAAACACCTGTGCAAAAACTAACAAAGACGGCTTTTTTTTTACCTACTACCTACCTATCCGCTGATATGATATTATAAAAAAAATTGAAATATAGATACTGCTTATGGAGTTCTGCCAGCCTGATGTAAAGTCACAGCCCACACCAAGTGCCAAAATAATAAATTTACCTAAACTTCATAAAAAAATTAAAATATTATATGTATAGCAAATAACTTTATATATATCTACATAAAAACACTTATTTGCTTTAGTTACTTTAGATTATCAAAAAAATAAATTTATTTACTTAGTGGTATTCACGATACGGTCTAGCACGGTGCATAAATAGCATGATTGGATAATTTTATTTTTGTTTCATGTGTTCAAACAACAACAAAATTAGCCAATCATGCTTTTTATGCTATCTATGCACCATGCTAGACAGTATACACCGGATCGTGAATACCCCTATTATGATACAGAAAACCAAACCACTTTCAATGCAAATCTCAACTGCTCGTGGCACTCACAGCAGTTTCCGTTGCGCCAACGCCATACGCCAAACCAAATAAAGCAGCAAACGCAGCTACATACACCACATATCGCCCGCAACAATACACCCTTTACAAAAACTTCAGTCGACAAAAATTTCAAGCGATTTGTTAAACGCCCGAAACATTGTCCAAGTCGATGACGATGTCATCGGAAACAGCAGCAGTATTTACGGTGGCGGTATTGATTTTCGTTTAGGCATCACATCTAAAAGTAAAACATAGAAAAATAAACAAAAATTTATTAATAAAAAAAATGGTATCGATTGCAGAAAAATTTGCATTAGTTAAGATATTTTTTATTTATTTATTTTCATGAATACGCAAATATTGATGTTTAGTTTATATGCATGCAATTTGTAAGTGTTCCTTATATGTATGTATGTGTGTATGTATTTTTCGCCTTTACATATGTACGTACATATGAATTGACTTCTTTTTCTCTCTTAGCAAATGGTAATCTACTGTAGAACGATGGCGGCAGCGGCTAATGGCAAATGACCTTCATACTAGCTTGCAAGTCCATTCACACCCAACCAATTGCAAATGCTTATCATCTCAGTCCGTCGGTAAAAGTACGTACTGCACAAATATCGTTTTGAGTGGACGCTGAACAACAACAACAAATGCATAAAATAGAGTAAACATGTCATATTACCTGCGTCGCAGCAGTAATGGCAATAAAGTGCACAGCATTGTGCCAGCAGCTAGCCACCAAGTTCGCTGATAACGAGACGAATGAAATCGAAATGCAATCTTCGAAAGAACACATACATACATATGTATGTGCATGTGTATAGTCTGGCTGTCACATACTGCTTTGTGCACACATACTGCTTATATACGTACATACATACAGCTACGGTAAACTAACTAAGAACAAAGAACAAATGCAGTATAAAGCTTAACTTTATAAATAATTGGCTAACCATTTCATATTATTTATGACTTAATATTGTTGTGACGAAATTCAGTTTTTGCGGTACATTCATTAAAAATAAGCATTTTTTACAGCGCGAGTATTAGTTATTTTTTGAAACAGTCTAATAAAATAAAGGAACTCCTGGTACCATGTGTACCAGGTACACACTCCGCGACAAAATGATATGGTCGAATAAAAGCCATGCTCAACGACAATTTTGTAGTTCGAAGTGTCTACAAAATACCACTGATTTTAGATTTTTTTTTTCCTGATGGTGTCAAGTATTTGCTTCTATTACCAAGTTACTATTTTCTAATTTTCTTATTGACACCGTTGGCAAAAAAAATTTTCAAAAATCAGCGCGAATTCTTAGCCTCTAGAAGCTGCATTCGAATTTAATGGGTTACAAAACTGCATACTTAAGGTTGTATGAATACAAATTTTGTTGCTGTTTTGTAAGTGTGTAATTTGATAGACTTAAATAAAAAATTTATAAACATAAACCAAACAAAAGAAAAACTGTCAAAACTAATTAAAATGTCGTGTACCAATTTTTTTCACATAACTGCAAGTTCATATATTAATTAGACTGTATCAAATAAAACAAATGCTTTTTGCTTTCGGTCTCATATGAAAATTTCGTTGTCGGTCGCAAAAAAATAATTTTGGCAAAATCTTAGCATTCTATCTTCATTTATTTGTTAGCGCTCGCAAAAATAAGAATTTCAATATTATCAACCTTTATGCATTTTTAATTAGTTGACCGTCTCTGTACATGCGTGCGCATTTGTAAGCGTATCTCATATGCGCACGCATGTACAGAGACGGTCAACTAATTAAAACTGCGTAGAGCTGGAAATCCTCCAAGTATACTGACAAAGTTGAGCAGTGTTTTTGTTTTAATTAAAATTTTTATTTTTTTTTCATGGGACAACATGATATTCTCTATGATATTCTCTATTTTTGGTATGCCCATAGTTTTTAATGAAAATTAAAAAAAAATATGGTATGTACAATTTTTTCGAATTTGACTTTTTGATACAAATTTGTTCTAAACTCCACAACGCATCACCTGGTAAAATATTGTGGCTAAAATCTCTAAAGTTACGCCAAATCAAATTTAGTCTAATAAAGTGCAAGTTTCGAGTAGTTAAATATTACCGTTTGAGTTTTTTGTCGAGGGTAATTTTTAGCTGCTTGAAACTTGCACTTTATCAGAGTAAAATTGATTGGGCTACAAAACTGCGTACCCGAAAATTTACTAAAAATTCTGATTAAAAAGTTTGAGATTTGGATGACAATTTTTTCGAGTTTGATCAACTTTTGTGAAATTTGTTCGCCATTTATATTGATATTTTTGACTCGATTGTAGGTTGGTAAAATCAGCACTGAAAAGTGGGAGCCTTTTAACTTTTTCCACTGTTGATTTGTAATTTTTACTGTTTTTCTGTTTTGCTTTTTAATTCTCATTTTGTAAATACGTTATTTTCCAACAGACACCAAAAGCATCCCTTCAACGGCCGCTTTCGACAACACAAAAGTCTCATAGCAAGTTTTCACCGCATACATTCATCAATTCACTTCGCTTTTACATAATGAAAAAAATAAAATAAAACTAAAGCCACGAACAAACAGCTTAACTAACTAAATAATAGCATTACATACATCTGTATGTATGTACATACATATAACCTCAAATGGCACTTCGCCAGTTTTCACCATAATTTCTGTACTCAAAACCGAAAAGTGTTTTGAAGCGGCCAAATGGACGGCATGCATCATACAGAGGTAGAGGCAAATAACAAGCTCATAAATAACTGGGACACGCTTAAAAAGCTAGCCAATAACCACTTAGACAACCACAACCACATAACCACATTAACCAGTCAGTCAATCAGTCAAGCGACAAATCAACTAACTGACGAATCAAGCGATAAGCGAAGACGTCAAAAAGCCAGTAAGTCGGACTATGTGCATGCTGCTATTCTAGCATTTGTGATTATCATATTCGACCAAACGTGCTGGCATGAAGGTAAACAAAGTCTGCTTTGCTTTTCCAAGCCACCTCACGTTCAGCCAAAACAACGCCATACCACAGCTGGCGTGAAAAAAAAAAATCAAACGCGAAGACGGTGGTGACCGACAAAAACAAAAATATTAAAAAAAAACACCTTTTTACTATTTACTGTTATAAATACTGGCAAAAGAAAATATAAATAAAATAAAACAAAATCAACGGAAATAATAATAATAATAACCGCTTTAAGCTGCATAAAAACTTCGGATTTAAGTCAACGTACAGCCTCGTCGCGACTGAATGCATTGACACTGACACTGTCGCTGAACTGCTTTCTTTCGTAGCTTTCTTTCTTTCTTCATTGTGCTTCAATAACAGGTACGTAAATATGTATGCACATGCATGCATACATACATTTGTGTCTACGAAAAGGTAAGCACATACAATCGAGTCAGCCGCATTCACGACGTTATCGCCCCACATTGCGTTCATTCGTACCGAGAAAGAGGCGAGGTACCGCGCGTACGCTTCTTACGATTTTTTACGCCATACTTGTGTGATTTATACCTAAATGTTTACGAAAGTTGTAGAAAAAATAGTTGACTAAATTAAAAATTAGAAACCAAAATCAAAACAAACCACAAAAAAATAACAATAATAATAGTGAAATGCCTGACTTGTAGATTTTTAATCGTTGCGCTATCGCTTTCCAAAGTACATACATAAATATATATCACAACAGTAGCGTTTTGTTTGTTTGAACACACTTCCGCATACGTACACAACTCAAAGGCACACATGCATTCCAAAATAAAGCTTTTTAAACGTCTGTCGTTTCGAAAAAGAGTTATTGCGGCGGTTAGCATTGAACTCAAGGCTAAGTCTGGAGGGTCCATAATCGGTTCCAAGAGAAATGACGAAATTGAAATTTTAATGAAAAAGCGTTGATTCATCCCATTTTTTTTTGCTACTCATTGATGATTTACTATCCAATTGCCGCATATAAAAAAGCGAAACCGGAACAACGCAAATTAGTGTGTATACATCGATGATCCTCCGCCATAACGAACGGTATTGTGTAATTTTTTCCATGTAAAGAATGCTTTTTATATGGGGAAAATGCGCAGCATCGTATGGAAAAAAATTTTCAAAATTTAACCAAAACTTTGAGGTACTTCAAACTTGCTCTTTATTATTCTATAAGTGGGATATTAAACTGCACATCAAAAATTTGCTTAACATTTTTTTTTTAAGTTTGAAATTTTGTTGAAAATTTGACGATTTCTTTCTAAATTTTGAAACTTTTATTTATTTAGTTTTTGTTGCGGGTTGAACTTATAA